TGGAGGGACCGGGGCACGAACAGAATCAACCGTAGTTAAAGAAGGGGCGGGAGCCAAGGACGTACTAGCTTTCCTCTTTCGAAATGAGGGTGTAGGACCTTTTGACCTCCTCAAAGGTCCCCTGGCTGAAGATACGAAAACACAAGGAAAGGGGAAAGTCCACAAAGGTAAACAAAGAAAAGAAGAGATAACGAATACACCATCATAGAAGAAACTTACCAGTCGAAGGGAGAGCAAGCCCAAACTTCTTGAAGAAACCTGATCACTCACGAATCCCTACGATGTGAGGGAAGAGCCGACCAATCAAGTCAAAAATGTGTTCGGCCAAAGGAGGAGGCGAGGTTTTAGCTGCACGGTAAAGGAAAAGAGGTCAAAACCCACGACCAAGAACGGGAGAAAAACCAGATACCTACAAACAAGGAGATTAGGTACTTATAAGTATACTTCCAAGCCTTAGGAAAACCGTCGACATTGGTCACCATGTCCTCGGTTCTGATGAAGAAGAAGTTGAACCAAAATTGGCGGTTGTCTTTGTCATCCATCTTCACCACCAAGAACTTGCCTCCTCGGTGGCGAAGATTCAACATCGACCCCCCTATAAAAGCTAGGGGTGAACAAATGTATTAAATGCCGAAGTGTGAGTTCGACCTCGGCTAGCACGGCAAATTTGGTGAGCATCCTTATAATTTATAAATGTACGTTGCGAGCTGAGCTGGGAAAATGCTGTAATAACGACAAAATTCCTTCGCTGACGGAATGAGAGGGAGAGTATAGCCTACTTGGAAGGGGTTGGCGTAGAAGGCGCAATACCCAAGACGGTGGACCTACATCGTATCCTACCCAGCCGGGATTAATTCAACATGATTGGGAAGGCCGAACTTAGCCTTAAGCTCTTCTAACTCCTTCACCGTCATCACTGACCGAAAGTCTCCAGGGTTAGCTTCAGGTAATTTGTTGATATCGGATCTGAAATCAGGGTTGAGAGGAATTATCTCCTCCACCGACGGAAAAACTCTATCATCGACGACAACATGGATATTCTCCTCGTGAGAGGGAAACCCCATTGCCAAAGGGATCACATCACTTCCCTCACTAGACTCAGAAGGCATATTAGACATATTTTGATAAAAGAAAGAGAGGTATCAAATGAGGAAGCACTAAGAGCGGTACAAATCTCTGGAACATAGAAGAGAGGATCGAAGCGAGAAAAGAGCAAGAGAGTAATATAAGATTTTGAAACAACAGAAAACTTAAACCTCAAAATAGTATCCAAATACCCCTATTTATAAAGATCTTGGCACCAAGACCGAAAACAACTCATCATTACTGGGCACCGAAACCGAAGCGCCAGGTTCAATCAGAGGTCACATGTGAAACGAAGCAACGCATTGGGAATACGCGTCATATGACGCACGATGTCATGACATCATCCTAACTCGTGGACAACATAGTTCCAGCAAATCGCCTAAAAAATCGAAGCGTTTGAAATATGCGGCCTACGTAGGGCCACGCTGCCCATTAACCCCAACCACCACGACCTGTATAGCTCGCTCGATTGTGTCGACCACATAGAACTAGGCCCGCTCATCGAACCCGCCTGAAGCCGGCCTCAATAAGCAGAGGGACTAACTGTATGGGTTAAAATCTATCTTTGGAATATTTAAGCCAAAGTAGTACTAAGGGAATGGTTTTCAAGTAGTCGTTTATCGAAATAGCCCAATAAGAGGTGAAGTTTGTGGACGAAGAGTCAACAAGGGTCGAAGTCAAGGTGTCAATAAGGGTCAAGGTCGAGGTCGAATATCTCTGACAGAGTTATAACGACTAGTTTCAAGATAGGATATTAAAGACATTATTCTAGTTGATATTCTCTACATTTGTACTATTAAGGTTTCTTAGGAACATGTTCCTTATAAATAAAAAAGACACTATGAAAGGGGACATGTGATATTCATTTGTAAAAAATATACTTTGACTTAAAGAATCAGACCTCACTTGCTAAGATACAAATATCACATTTTCACTGAGATTCTTGTCTGTATTTTCCCACTAGATTCAAGAATAACTCAAATATTCAAGAGATTGTCTATCATTTATAATTGACAGAAAGAACATCCACTTATTTCATCATTTCTTGGGTGACTCATTCCTTATATTTGCTTAAATATCATTTATTGTTGTTCATTATCATTGAATGTTACATTATTACTTCCGATTTTTGGAATATTTATTATATGCCACTGCCACTGTCCGACCCGATCTATGTAATATTTGCTAGTTCTTTAAGAGCTCCATCTAGGGATATTATTGTTAGCTAAGATTAATCATTATTCATATAAATATAATTATTTGAACTGAGATCTATACTTTTTGGTCAAACAAATATCGCAGCAAAAAATTGGTTTGACTCTCAAAATTGGAACACCACAATATAAATTGGGACGAAAGAAATACTAATGGTACAATTACATTTTTGGGCCGCCTAAAAAAATATTAGCCGGCAAATGTATATGTCTTGTATATTTTGAATAAATATACATATAATATACATAATATAAATATAATATACGTTAATATACATATCATATTCATAATCAATGTATATGTTTAGGATATTTGGGCTACTCCATGTAATTATTTTGGCCGTCGCGATAAAAATGAAAAAGCCCTTTATATATATACCAATGAAGGTTCGCCGGTGCAACTGTGTCATATGATGCAAGTTTTCTTTTGCAGTATCTTTTTGTCTACCTGTCTATGCGTTTTGTCCAATTTAAAGGTTATTAATAAATTTGTATTTTAATTTATGTTTGTAAAATATTAATATATGCAAGTAGTTATATGACGTACAATCTTTTCTTCACTTGTTTTTATGTTATACAAGTCTTTGTGTTTTATAGGTTCAAATTTCTTTATAACTGCATCGTTTGTTCTGATCTATTTTTGCCTTCTTAAATCGATTGGCTATTATACACCTATGAAAATATATAATATTTAAATCTTATTTGACTATAGACAAAAATTATCCAAAAGATTAAATTTTTCACTCTTTTTATGTTTGTAAAATTGACCGAATACAAAACATCACCAACTTCAACTTTTAATTTCTCATATTTCAAGTATTGTTTTATTGATTGATCTATGCAAATGGTTTTTTGGCGAATTGGTCCTCTTTTAATTGGTTCAATATTTATTAGTTAAAAATACAAAATAAAAAATATGAAGTAAAAAATTATTGCATGGAAGTTGGATTTTTTTCGGGCAATAATGACTTCCTGACTTAGATAGTGAAAGTTTTATTAATTTTATGTTAGAAAATCTAGTTATATGACTTTGATAAAAAAAAGTTAAAATTATATATTATTTGTGATTGTGAAATTTACCCAAAATAATCATAGATAGAAATCAATCAAAAAATGATATGTTGGTCATACATATTATCGGAAAGGAGAAGAAGGGAAAAGATGCTTTAACTTTGAGACTTGCGACAATAGATGGTACAAATTTTATTTGTATCCGTGTTTTACTATGGATGGAGAGTCATCCCCTTGTGAATGAAATACGCTGCAGATATTTTGTCGGCGACTCTTGATACGCTTGGTCAAGTTTTGTATATTAAATATTTTGAAAGAATATGTCTGTCTTTATGCATGCTTATATATATTAAAAATTATAATATTGATAATACTATAGTTTGTTATGCACAATAATAACTAATATGTATTGTTTTCCCTAATACATTCTAGCAAACGACCCCTCACTGTACTCTATTATTTACATCCATTTGCCCTCTTTGCTTCTTGGGTACATCTTGTTTTTATTCCTTAAATCGTGAGAAATCTTCAATTAATTGATGTTTATTTATTTGGTGCAATAATTGGGTGCGGCTAGATATTTTCCGCAGTTTAGTGTAGTAGTATACTAAGTTACGTTGCTTTCTTCTAGAATTAGATGTCATATGCAATAATTAATTAAGGATAATCCATATTATGTAATCAATTAGATCAGCTTTGCTTTTGAAGATTGTGGTCACGCGACACTCCCTCTTAAGTCTTATCAATACTCTTTTATTTTGTTAACTTGCTTATGCGTTCCACATTAATTAGGAGAAACGAAAGGTTTATAATGAATGTATATTTCTTAGGCCAATTGTTTTATGCTGTGATTGTAATTTCATTACATTAAGAGATCGAAAAATGATTTTCTCTGATCTTTAGAGAGGATAACAAAGTAGTTGATGTATGTGATAGGATAGTACCTATCCATCCAATCTTTAATTATAAGTTTTGAATTCGAGCTTAGAAAATAAAGTTGTCTTTGGTAGGAAAGTTTTACCCATCAAAGTGAGTATTTCCAGCTCTATAGCATGTTTGGCTGTGCTTCTTTTGGCTAAAAGTACTCGTTTTTTTGGCCAAAAATAAATTTTTTTTTCCTTCAAAATTAAGGTGTTTGACCAAAACTTTTAGAAGAAAAAAAATTTGCTTATGGTAGAAGAAGAAATAGTTTTTGAGAAAAAGAAAAAGTAGCTTCTCCCAAAAATATTTTTTTGATAATTACTTTTGAGAAAAATAGTCAAAATTGTGGGGCACCCTATTTGGTCGCCTTCATTTAACCCGTATCTACTTTTTAATTTTTTTAGGCCAAATACCTATACGACATTACGACCATTTAAACTTGGCTCTAGTTTTCATTTTGACATTTTAATTAAGCCTATTACCTATTGAACACTTCAACCCAAATCAAAGTATGCCTATTGAACATAAAAGCTGACATGGCAAAAGAGTTGTATTTCAACCCCTCTTAGGCGCGTGAATTTTGATGGTTTTGGAATCATGTTTTTCTTTTCTGTTTTGTTTAAAATAAAGTTGACTTTTTTTCTAAAGGCCACCCATAACCACCTTATCTCCACCATTGTCGCCTCTGTAAGTATGCATCTCCATTATTGCTCTATTTTGCAACTTCTGAACTGTGACAAAAGAAGGACAGAAAAATATTTTTTTCTCCAACAATAAATTTGGGCAAAATAAATACGTCAATGACTGATTTTCTCCAAATTCTATTCATTATTTTTCAACTTTTTCAGATTCCGCTCACCATCTTCTTTCAACCCAAATCTGAAATTTTTTGTTGTTCCAGCAAAGAAATTCAAAAATAAAAATAATTTGCCCGACTATCAGTTTTAGATTTGATCCCGACTAGTGAAGGGCCTATGAACGAAAGGAGAAGAAGAACGGGGGAAGGGGAAAGAGGATGACCAACGATGGGAGTGGAGAAGATGAACATCGACGAGTAAGGTCCAACGGCTTTTTTACAACCAAAAATATAACAGCATGGTTTTTTTTACTGATGTGACTTGTTTTAATGATCTGGCATCTTTTCATTGATTATATTTCCACATAAGCACGTTTGAGCTTCACACATTTATTTTATTTTTTGGGACTAAGTTTTTTGTGTTCAATAGGTATACTTTGATTTGGATTAAAGTGTTCAATAGGTAATGGCCTTAGTTAAAGTGTCAAAATAGAAACTAGAGCCAAGTTTAAGTGGTCGTATAGGTATTTGGCTTTTTTTTTTAACTTGTACCCACTTTTTAAATAACTTCAGGCCTTTTTCTGCTCTTTCTTCTTCTTCTTCTTCTTCGGGTAACCGTGATTTTATATTGTGTTTGTGAACATATTTTAAGGTAGTTTATGATTGATAGTAGGCTATATTCATGCAATTTAGACACTACTTACACTCTAATTTAGCCGCACTTTATTGATATTTGAATGATAAAAGATAACAAAATGCTCTAATTAAGAATTTGATGCTTTGCAGGAGCTACTCCGAGCTAGGAGGGAGCTAACGAGTATTTTGGAGTCAACATGGAATATGAAAGGGCAATCGAAGGTTTGCCCGGTCGAAAAGGAGCCAGAAAAGCAAGCGAAACGATCACGCCAGGTGCGCAGTCGCGGAGTGGGCTACGAACTGGTCCGCAAACTCAAGGCAGTGAGGCAGTCCAAATCCGCGGCCGGATCCGCGGTCGAATCCGCGGCCGCGGACGGGCGGACGAAAGCCAAACACGCAGGGTTAATTATGTAATTTCCTAGGCACCTAACCTAAACCTATATGAAACCTAAACTCGCCCAAAAGTGGGGGATAACTGTTTTTAGAAGATTTTAGAGGTAAGAACGAGGGAGAGAAGACGGATAAATTCCTAAGAGTTTTCATCTTCTTCTTCATACTTCTATTTGTTGATTATGAATTATTTTAGTAATTTATTTTTCATTAGTATGAGTAGCTAAACCTATTATCTAGTGTTGATGGAACCAACTGTTGGATGAAGTCTTGACTCTATATTGTTATAATTGAGCCATGTTTGTTCTATGATTGTTCAATTACGTATTGTATTCTGGTTAATTGAAAGGGCCCTCGATTAATCGTGTCTATTCACCTTGTGTTGCTTGAAAAAGAACACTTGGTTAGATTGTTGTTGAACAACACCACTTTTGGAAAAGTTAAGAGATTAATTACTTGAATTTAAAAGTGGGGTTAGAAATAACGAAACTTTGGTGGGATAATTCTGAGTTGCATAAATTGTTAACTAGAGTAGTTCGAGAGAATGCTTCTAGTAAATTATCGTAATTGATCGAAAGGTAATTATGGTAGCCCAGAACTCATAATCCTCATAGAGTATTACGGCGAAATTATAGCTAAAGAGTTAAGAATTAATCCGGCAATTGAGAAAAGCAATAGCCCTAGATTCTTTTACCCTTAAATTTAATTTTAGTCTTGATTATTGCTAATTTTATTGTCATTTTTCCTTAGCTAAATAAATTTTACTGATTATTCATAAAACTCTTGCATCCGGAAGTTGTCTGAGCTTATCATTAGCATTATTTAAAGTTGTAGTAAATAGGTTAGTTCCCTATGGGATTCGACTCCGGACTTGAACCGGGTTATATTTGCAGCGACCGCTTAGTCCTTTTTATAAGGCATAGTTGGGCGCGATCAAATTTTGGCGCTGTTGCCGGGGAACTAACGGTGTTATTTATTACAACTTAGAAGAATTGCTAGGATTCTTAGTTTAGATCAATTTTTTACGGTGTTTAAATTTTTCCATTGAAATTCTCACGTTTGAATTCTCCTGTGACTCAGGTGTATGCCTAGAAGCTCTTCGAGGACTGGTGAACTTTTTGAAGGACTCTTAGACCCCGAGAAAGCATTCAGGGCATTAAATCGAGCCGACAAGAAGAACAAACAGTTACAACAAAAACACACACTCGAAATTGAAATGGACAACGTGGACGATGTCAATGTAAACAATTGGAATAATCAGGTTGACCCAAACAATGGAGTGGTGGTACCTCTTGTGCCAGAAGCTGCTCTATATGATTGGGCATAACCAACTGCTGATAACTTAGCCATCGCCATCGCTGTACCTTAGATACAAGCGGAGACATTCCAGATCACCAACAACATGCTGCATCTGTTGCAAAATAAGGTACTGTTCTCCGGGTCATACATTGAAGACCCACAACAATATCTGAAAAAATTTCTATCAATATGTGTGACCCAAAGACAGCCTAATGTGACTCCTGAAGCCATCAAGCTATTACTGTTTCCATTCTCTGTGACTGGAGAGGCTCAAACTTGGCTGAATTCACTTCCAATAAACTCCATTGCCACTTGGGAAGAATTAGTCAAACAGTTCTTAAAGTTTATCCTCCCAACAAGACTGCAAGGTAGAATGATGAGATATTACAGTTCAGGCAGAAACCAACTGAGTCCTTGCAAGAAACCTGGGAGAGGTTCAACGGTATGCTAGTGAAGTGTCCACACCATGGCATTCCAGATCAGATGCTGGGACATAGATTCTACATGGGTTTAGCAGATAGTTTGAAGGCCAATGTAGATGCTTCAGCTGGGGGTGCATTTTTTAGGAAGACATTCACAAAGTGCAAGATTTTTCTTGACAAGATGGCTCAAAATTCAGGCTGGATGGCTAGAGCTACGACACTTACACCAATAGTGTATTTTGTTGCTCTTGACCCAAACAATTCCCATGCAGAGAACATAGCCACTCTTATGACTCAGATAAGCATACTGACAAAGCAAATTGATGAGATGGGTACAAAGCAAGTGCACATTATTGATACAACGAACAGAGGATTGTGCACTCATTGCATAAACCAGTCATATGTGTGCTCGTGGAATGGAGAGAATGACAATCAGGGCTTTAAAGAAGACATGAATTATGTCAATAATTTTGGAGGTTAGAGGCAAGGTGGGCAACAATGGGGACCAGCACCAAACCAGCAGTACAAACCCAACTTGCCACAACACAACCCCAATTCGGGAGGCGCACGACCACAATGTCAAGTTGTGCCTTATCAAAGGCAGCAGGGCTATAATCAACAGCACCAGCAACAGTTGGCCTACTAACCACCTCATCAACAACAGGACAACAATATGGTAGAAATCAGGGGTATGCTGCAACAACTCATTGGAACAAATGGCAAGATGCAAGAAAAGTTAACAACACATGATTCAGCAATCACAGGCATTGAAACTCAACTGGGACAGCTGTCTATGGCCTTGAACAATCGCCCCCAAGGAACATTGCCTGCAGATACAAATATTAACCCAAAGGAACATAACCCAAATCAGCTAATGGCAGTGAGTCTCAGGAATGGAAGAGATTTAGACAGAGAGCAAGAAGTTGCTCAATTTAGGAGAGAGACTACGCCAACTACTCCAGTTACATTAGAGGCAGAAGAGTCAGCAGAGCTCACCGAGGTTGTAATTGATAAAGCACAGGTTGCCAAGGGTAAGGAGTAGGACAGTGAACAAGTCTCAGAACATATGGCACCTCTTGTGCCAGAAGCTTCCAACAAAGAAAAGACATCAAGTAATGGACAGAAATTGACTCCTACACCATTCCCTCAGAGATTGGCAAAACAAAAGAAAGATGATCAATACAGGAAATTCATGGAAATGCTTCGACATATTCAATTGAATATTCCACTGATGGATGCTTTGAGGGAAATGCCAGGATAGGCAAAAATGATGAAGGACCTGATGTCACGAAAATTTGACTTCCAGGACCTGTCCACTATAACTCTGACACATACCTGCAGCGCGGTAGTGACAAAACCTATGGCCCAAAAGGTGTCTGATCTAGGTAGCTTCACTATCCCATGCACTATTGGGAGTTATGCTTTTGCTAAAGCATTGTGTGACTTGGGAGCCAACATAAACTTGATGCCCTTGGCAATCTATACGAAACTGGGCATTGGCAGAGCTAGACCGACCTCAATGTTGCTGCAACTGGCTGATCGCACAGTCAAAAGAATGACATGAATTCTTGATGATGTGCTTGTGCAAGTGGGAAAATTTGTATTTCCTGCAGACTTTGTTATTCTTGATTGTCAGGTGGATAAAGAGATACCCATCATTCTGGGAAGGCCATTCTTAGCCACTGGAAGAGCATTGATTGATTGTGAGACTGGAGAGTTGAAAATGAGGTTGAACAATGAAGGAATAATATTCAACGTTCAACAATCCATGAGGAGACCTAGTGAATTTGCAAACTATTCACTAGTGGAGGCCGTAGATGTGATACTGCAAGAAGAGGATGAGACCCTTAACGTCAAGGGTCCACTTGAAGCCTACTTGATCAATTTGGAAGAGATGGACGGTGAAGGATTGGCAGAGTGGGTCATGGCTTTCGAAGGTCAAGGATTATGGAAAAGGGAACCTCAGTTCGAGCCCCTACGCTTAGAAGAGAGAGCAACACCACCTGCAAAACCATCAATAGAGAAGCCACCATAGCTGGACTTGAAACTGCTTCTAGCCCACCTCAGGTACGCTTTCTTGGGGCCTAATTCTACTTTGCCTGTTATTATATCATCTGGCTTGCTAGCTGTATAGGTAGAGCACCTATTAAAGGTATTGCAAGAATGTAAGACTGCCATTGGTTGGACCATGGCAGACATAAAGGGTATCGGCCCAGCCTTTTGCATGCACAAGATTCTTCTGGAAGAGGGGCACAAACCTTCCAGGGAACATCAACGACGTCTGAACCCAAATATGAAGGAAGTAGTAAAGAAGGAAGTGATCAAGTGGCTAGATGCGGGTATCATCTTCCCCATCTATGACACCAACTGGGTCAGTCCTGTCCAATATGTGCCGAAAAGGGGAGGTATGACGGTCGTACAAAATGATAATAATGATTTGATCTCGACTCATACAGTCACGGGGTGGCGGATTTGCATGGACTATCGGAAACTAAACATCGCCACTCGAAAGGACCATTTCCCATTGCTTTTCATTGACCAAATATTGGACAGGTTAGCTGGGCGGTCCCACTTCTGTTTCTTGGATGGATACTCGGGGTATAACCAGATCTCAATAGCCCCGGAAGATAGAGAGAAAACATCCTTCACTTGTCAATATGGCATCTTTGCCTTTCGGAGAATGCCCTTTGGACTTTGCAATGCACCGGCTATATTCCAGCGGTGCATGTTAGCCATTTTCACTGACATGGTGGAGGATATTAAGGAGGTGTTTATGGATGATTTCTTCGTGGTGGGGGATTCATTCGAAGATTGTCTTCACAATTTAAGAAGAGTGCTCAAAAGATGTGTGGAGACAAATTTGATACTGAATTGGGAAAAGTGCTATTTTATGGTACAAGAAGGAATAGTTTTGGGGCATCGAGTGTCCAGTAAGGGAATTGAGGTCGACCATTCTAAAGTTGATGTGATTGAGAAATTGCCACCGCCCACTTCGGTCAAGGCAGTGAGAAGTTTACTTGGGCACGCCGGGTTCTACAGGCGATTCATAAAAGATTTTTCCAATATTGCTAACCCTTTATGTAAACTTCTTGAAAAGGATCAGCCCTTTGTGTTTTCTAATGATTGCAGGTTGGCATTTGAGGAGTTGAAGAAGAGACTGATAACTACACCCATCATTGTTGCACCCAACTGGGAGCAACCATTCGAGCTCATATGTGACGCCAGTGATTATGCTATAGGAGCAGTCTTGGGACAGCGAAAAGACAAGATGATGCACCTGATTTACTATGCAAGCAGGATGCTCAGCGGTGCACAGCTCAATTATACTGTAACAGAAAAGGAAATGCTGGTTGTAGTGTTTGCCTTCGACAAATTCAGGTCTTACTTAATTGGTTCAAAA